AGTGACATAAATCGCTCAAATGTTAAAAACATCAGTTACTAGCCCAATCATAAATCACTTCAGACACGAAACCAAATAATTCAGTCGGTACAACATCAAACAGAATTGTGATTGCAATTAATCAAAAACGCACCAGAACCGTAATAAGTCAGTTAATATTTTCAATTTCACACCAGCGCCACCACCCAGACGCAAAAACGTCAGTTAAAACGACATAGTTAATCCAAATATAGTCAGGTCTGAAGTTAGACTTACATTCAGTCTGGGAATTCGTCAGGGCGCAGTTTCCGATGCTCGAGCGACCAGATTGATGGAACCGATTTGATGAGGATATACAATTGTATCAGCTGCCTTTGTTTTCTTATAATGGACGTTATTTAGTAGAGGAAGTGTTTATTGCTTGTTGAGTCGTGTAATTTTGCGAATGCCTTCTTTGAATCATTCAGATGATTATTATTGTTTACAAATATGATATTTTAGTATTAAAGATTCACCTTAGATTACCTATATAAGCAACAACAGAGCTTTAGACACAACAAACATGTAGGTAAATATTTTTGATAACGTAAATTAGGTGGTTAAATATATTTTGAATTGCAGTGGATATGATTAACTCAAACATGATTGAATTATAATGTGAACATTATGATCTCCAACAAATCAAGCTGTCACAAAACTCCTCAATGGATTTAAAACTGTATATCAATTGAGTAAAGTACATAATTCCTCTATACTATACACTTACAGTAAAAATTCAATTTTAAAACGTCCATAACAAGAAAATTCCATAGAATTATCGCATGAAGTCTACATGAAAGAAGTAATTTGTGAAATTGTCCGCAACTATGACGAAGCTATAGTAATAGAACCACTCAAGTGGATCCAATTAGATAAGTGGTGAGGTTAATGCAATTATGCATACTGGCAAACCGACAAAGGATGGGATGCCTTTCACGTACGTGTAGAAAAGAAACAAAAAAAAGTGTTCTAGAAAATTTATTTTTTATGCAAAACCCAACTCCAAAATTAAGACGCTCTATTTCCTCTTTTCATTCCCTAAAAAGTTCAGAAAACTTTGAAGGCCATATTTTTTAATTAAGGACACCTAAATATAATTTTGAATTAGTATGTTGTTGCGGCGGTCATGTATTCCCTTTTCCCAGAGAAAATTCAACAGATTTTAGCAAAGGAATTTCCTATGGTGCTCGTTTTTCCAAATCCCTCAATTTGTCACAATGAGTAAGAGATCATTAACTTCTGTTTGAAATATGACTTTTAATGTAGTACAATTTATCTCACTTGCATCATTACCAAGTAACTCATTAACATCGTTGCATTACACAGTATCTTTAATCAAGGTAAATTTATGGTCTATGTCTCGCTACATACATTGCTTGACCCAACCATGGTGGTCTTTCACTTTATCCATTCTATTTGCAGGTACCTTTAATCTGAATCGTGGTTTAATAGCTTGATAAGAGTTCGAATCAACCATTAAAGTTTTAATGTCGTGAATAATTCAACTCAATTCTAATTGCGTTAATCTTGGAAGAATTTTTGAAATAGCACTTAAAGTTTCGTCAGTCATAAAAGTGGTATCTGTATTAAATGCATAGAATGTTATCGGTAAGCCCAGGCGCAGACCACCAACTTTTTGTTGGCCGATAGTTGGGCCCGATTATAATTTGTATGAAGAATCGACCGATAACAATCGGTGTAATGTGCCCACTTTCATACATCTTCATACTGATACAGCCCGAACTATCGGCCAATTAAAAGTCGGTGGTCTGCGCCTAGTCAAACTGAAGTACTGTTGTTGAAGGGGATATTTAATGAGTCAAACAATGGTTAGGGCTGGGTCTACGCTGGCGGTACAGGTTATTTTCGTAGTAGAGTGTCGAAAGAGATTGTATCTTGTTTGGGACAGGACAAAGCCTTTGCTCCTGTACTTTCAGCGCTCCGATATAGCGATAAAGATATTCTATTGCAAGTTTGGATCGCAAATATCAGAGAACATTCTAGAGTGATAATGATCATTGCAAAATTGCAATGATGGAGAGCAGTTCTAAAAACTTTTGTGACGATAACAAGCGAGCTAATAGTCAGCTATGTTTTATTAATATCTAATATTCAGACCGAGGAGAACGACGGGATCAGTACAATCGTAATTGAAGTCATAATGAATACGAGGATAAGATCATTTGCGGCGTATCCGATGACAGCTCACGTGAACAACTCCCGCGCATGCAAGGTGCAGATAATGCCAAGATTAATTGCAATTAACCGTAATAATTAAGAGATATCATGGCAAAGGAATTCTGATGGTACATTTTGATGGATCGCAAGAAAGTTTTCTTCTTGCTCCATAAATTGGTTGTTATCTGGTTTTGAATTATTTGGAGAAATTTTATAATTAGGACAGTTAGCTTAGAACATGGTATTTACAGGCATGACGGTAGACGATTTATTATTATGTGCTCCAGATATAAGATAAATTTAAAAACCAGTGGTGGGTAGTTTTATTTTGAATTCGACAATAGGAATAGTAGAAGGCATATAGTTTGACAGCATCTTGTGTGATAGTTAGCGATTACACCACAAAAATGTTTAGTCTGATGTCCCTGTCACATAACATTTTTGTACACTCTACCTACACTGGCTTGTTTACTGGAACTATGCTTAGATAGACGTTTATTGTTCTCAGTTTGCTAAATACTGCTCAAATCTAATATGAAGACCCCTGTCAGATGCAGCAAACACTGATAATGATGTCACACAAATGAAACAAACAACAGTCAGAGAAACCTCTAATGCCGCTAATACAAAAGATCTCGTGACAGTTAAAAGTCAAACTTGACTTGAAGACTTAAGAATCCTGTCAGATTGTCAGCAACCGCTGATAATGGTACAGTCAAATATAACAAAGGAAAGACACAGAAACGTCTAGAAAATCTAACAGCAACTAATGTTCTCACACAACCAACTATGTCACCTCGTAATGTATGATTTCAGATAGGTGAGATGTGTTACTGAACGCAATCTTTACAACAATACAATGAAAATCTACTTAACACGCATGTAAGTAATTGTGTACAGTCGGAGTCAAAACATCAGACAAGGAACGATTTTACGGAATAAAATTATGAAATCCCTGTATCTTAAGAGCCCATTAAATAAAACAATGTCGCTGATTCAGTTACATCCATACCATCATGAATTCACGAAATTCTTTATGTTAACCCATTCCGTATCTTAAATTATCTTTCGTTCAAAATAAAGTTAGTACACATTGATTTACAATTTTATACAGACACAATTCAAATATTTCTATCGAAAACTAACGGTTTTGCAGCTAATTTCTTAAATATTTACAAAGAAACAAACCTCAAACGAATGACTCTAAAGCTTTTCGCCTTAGAAATTTTATCACTTGTGACTTTTCCCAGTTTTCCACTCAACATCGCCTGTTCCAACTGTACCTATAAACAATGCAATGAAAATCTACTTCCCACGTGTTCCATACGCAAATGAGCTCGCGTGACGCTCTCACCTCCACCAACATATAATTGTGTACTTAATGATACGCAAACATGATTAGAGACTGTGTATGAATGTCACAGATACACATGTCGCCTTTGTCAACTGTAATTAATGTTTGCTTAATCTAAAAAATAAATAACTGTAGTAAATGATTCCAACGATGTTGATTTTATACTAGAGGCTGTAATTCCCAGAGCAATGTTTCCTAGGGTACATGAAGTTCAGGCCAATATTGATTTAATTTATTGATTTCTAGACCTAAATGTCAGGGAAGAAAAGAATTCCTCAATTGTGAATGACACAAGGTAGGTTTCTCTTCCTACCTATTAGAATCGAACGACGCTTCTCAAGCCAAAATCCATCAAGCCGCTACTTTACTTACTACACCTTACTACTTAGGCTACAGCTAATCGAAAAACTAACCCTCTGGGCGCAATCGGGTATTTAATTTAGCAAATAGTATAGTCATAAGTCATCGGGTGTTGGTAGAGTGAGAAACGGATGCTGATTATATCCCTCGACACGTAGGATTAGGATATGACTGAGAACTAAATTAAATAATGAGACTGCAAAAGTTCAGTGCACATCCCTCAGATCTATAGCAGTTCATAAAACTCATAAAACTCATTTATTTCTGCAAATAGGCTTTAAAAAAGCACTTTTACACGTCCCAGTATTAACCCTACCACTGCTTCAGGACAATAAGGGCTATATTTCACCGGGACACCATGGCGGCGCAACCAGTCGCCGCTACCAACAAAATGTATGCAGCTTTGCGCAACCAAACGGACACCAGGTGAGTAACTCTCTATAGAGCTGCATACATTTTGTTGGTAGCCGGCGACTGGTTNATGTATGCAGCTTTGCGCAACCAAACGGACACCAGGTGAGTAACTCTCTATAGAGCTGCATACATTTTGTTGGTAGCCGGCGACTGGTTGCGCCGCCATGGTGTCCCGGTGAAATATAGCGCTAAATTGGCCAGTGCTGAGAAGAAGTAGCGCAAGAAACTACACTATTTCATCAGCACGAACTCTACATTTATTTCGATTCCATATTACATTCAGACAGGTGAAAGCTAAATAAGTAGTTATTATGGCACAAACATTTTACTTCTGATCGGTATCAGTGTGGTGCATTGAAAAGGCCTTTGTCCTGTAGCAGACTGAAGTATGCTGAAGGTGATTCCAGACCTTAACCTGTGAGCCTCTACCCTGAGACGGAGCTGAAGACGTAAGTATGTTCAAGATAAGACAATGCGGCTCCTTTTCATTAGGCTCCAGTGGACACCGTCGGGCTTTAGTGGGTAGGCCAGCCCTTCTGGCAGGGAGAGTCCCATCGGCCAGTAGGTAAGCGGTGCTTTACGCATAATTACTAGTCGATGGGACTCTCTTTAGAGTACTTTAGTTGCCCTTCTCCGACATAAAAAGCCTACCAACTGGGAAGTATAAAAACTTTACTCACATCAAAGAAGTGCGGCCGTAGCCTCCCGATAGTGTACTTGGCGACGTCTGTTGTTAGCTGCTGACAGGCGCAGCCGAAGAGGAACACGCCGACCACCCTGTATGCCTCCCATAGCCATGGGGGAAGTTCCTTGCCCAGCACTGAGCGAGGCCGCCCCTTGTAGTCCCGGAGCCTTATCCACTCTGTTAGAATCATCTGGGGACAAAAGACAAACGTGTGTTTATAAGCTTTGCGCATGCTTCGTCACAAAACAATAATAATGTTGTAAAATTATTATCCCATCAAAAACAATACTTGTCAAAAAAACCAGGTCTCGCAACTCAGTTGTTCTACGGTAAAAAGTTGTGAGATCCATGTAATACCTACAAAGTCCAGGCCAGGAAATCTTTAACGTTTTACATAAAATATATTGACTTGGCCATCGCACTAAATAATTTAATTTACACGTGTTTTCATGCGATGGGATTTTGATGGGATCTCATTTCTTTTTGTATTTTGTAGACAGCAGTTATGTATCTAGAAAACTGGACCGAAATTGAAAAATTTTACTCGACTTGGCGGTTGCACTACCGTGCCCCCAAATCTCATTTCTTTTTGTATTTTGTAGACAGCAGTTATGTATCTAGAAAACTGGACCGAAATTGAAAAATTTTACTCAACTTGGCGGTTGCACTATCGTGCCCCCAAATATTTTAGTTTTTCCTTAATTCATACACCAAACACTACTTATATTCCAAATTTGAAGCTTCTAGGTCTGCTAGAAGTGCCTTAGAGTTTTGATGATCGGTGAGTCAGTCAGTGAGTCAGTGAGTGAGTGAGTGAGTGACAAAATTAAGTAACTTTGACCCGTTATAATTCTTAAACTACTGGTTCAAATTGAATGAAATTTTAAATATACCGTGTCTTTACAATGCCTGCATAGCTAATGAAAATTCAGCCTTCTAGTTTTATCCACAACGAAGTTACAGGCGGTCGAAAATGGCCTGAATTGCTTCGAGAAAAGAATGGTACGGCCGTGCCGCTTTTTTGCTCGACTTGGTGGGGGCACTGCCGTGCCCCCAGATAATCTCATGTAAATTAACCTGTTCTTATGAGAATAAAGATTCTACGGTAAAGAGACTCCATAAAGAAATACCTATAGTAAATTACTTTGTTGAGTGTGGGTGTGGGTAGTCGAAGCGCATTTAGTGTCGTGAGTCTGAAAATTCAAACTGAAATTTTGTGGTAGAAACAGTGTTTGTTCTATGATGATGTGAGCTCGTACGATGCATGATACAAAATCCATTTCGTCATTAAAAACTCATAAAACTCACTCATTTATTTCTGTAAATAGGCTTTAAAAAAACACTTTTATTAAATAAATAAGTACGTTAAAATTAAAAGCGCAGATTACATTTGTAACTTTTAAAGTGTATAAATACACACCATTTTCATTTAAATAGAGCTCTTTATAGCAGGCCAAGGTGATAACTGTAATGGACCTTTGGCAAATTATTCTGCTATTTGCTTAAACCTCTCACGAAGGTGGAGTACCCAAACTTTATAGTCAGCAAAACATACTAATGAGATTGCAGTTTTAGATCTGACAAAAATGGCGAGGTCAAACGCGTAAAGGCGAAGTGCATTGCTGAATCTGAAAGGTGCAACTGCATACCTATACTAATATTATAAAGCTGAAGATTTGTTTGTTTGGTTGAACGCGCTTATCTCAGGAACTAATCTCAGGTCCGATTTGAAAAATTCCTTTTGTGTTGGATAGCCCATTATCGAAGAAGACTTTAGGCTATAACATCACCCTACAGCCAATAGAGGCGGAGCAGTGAAGAAAAATGTTACAAAAACGGGAAATATTATTCAAACTATTTTCATGCGTCGAAGTCGCGGGCGCGGCTAGTTATCCTTAAGCTGCTTGGTTAAGTGCTATATTTGCATTTTTACACGCACTTTGAAACTCAAAAACAATTATTATTATAAGGAAATAGAGCATCAAGCTTTAGGTGCGTAGTGCAATTTTAGATCTGGCAAAAATCACAAGGCCAAACGCGTAAAGGCGAAGTGCATTTCTGAATTTAAAAGATGCAACTGCAGTGCAGATTATCCGTAATCCGCTTAGGAAGTGCTATAATATTTGCATTTATTACGTGCACTTTAAAGAAAAACACATTATAAGGAAATAGGGTTTCAAGCTGTAGGTGCGAAGTGCAATTTTAGATCTGGCAAAAATTTCAAGGCCAAACGCGTAAAAGCGAAGTGCATTTCTGAATTGAAAGGTGCAATTGCAGATTATCCGTAATCCGCTTGGGAAGTGCTATATTTGCATTTATTACCCGCGCTTTAAAACATAAACACAATTATTATAAGGAAATAAAAACCAAGTTTTAGGTGCGAATTACAAAATGAAGTTCGATTCGATTCAACTTCAATCCAATATTCCTGTGATAAGCCCAAATATGTATTAAAATTATCAAGGGGATTGCTACCATGTACCTTTTTATAGAGCCTCCGATATTTCCGGGTAGCAATCCCGTAGATAACTATTCTGGTATTTAAGTTTATTCTAATGTTAGTGACCATGAAAGTTTAAAGCCTAAATATTCAAATTAAATATAGATTTGAAATTGAATTGAGTTTTGAGTGTCGTTTTATAAACCTGCGTAATGTAGGTAGGTATTTTATTATTTATCACTATTGTGTAAGACCACTTATGTACCTGAAATTACGCAAATAAAGGACTTTGATTTAAATTGTTTTTTTTTTGTATAAGCGGAAAAGTTTGTGAGCATGGATGGACAATGGACATTTGTGACCTATTGGACAGATTTTGATTAGACTTTACGAGGTTATAACATAAACACCAATATACCAAAGGATACAATTTATCGAAATATGTTCGGGAAAAAATCAAGAGATCGAATTTTTACGGAGTCTTCCAGCGACTTTTAGTTTAGACCAAGCTCAAAGTCAAACCAAATCAACAAAAATCTACTCTAGAATCTTAGAGCGGGCCTAGTTGCCGAAAAAAAAATCCGGTGACTTGGCCCGTGGACCAAACTAAAAGTGGGCCAAGCTGCTGGAAACTTCTTTTTTCCTTTGCCTTGTAAACCACGCGGTATTTTTGGCAAAAATCTAAATTAAAGCGGGGACATGTTGCAATAGGCCTTGTGATACGGCGCAGGCGCAGGGTCGGGTCGCACGCGCATTGAATATTGACCCCATTCAATATTGGTTCACACCTGACTTTTGGCGAGGGGAACATAAACAATCAGTCGAATTACCAGAGGGGGAATATGTTTAAGAGTGCACACAGGAACTATACACAAATAAATATTAACATACTAATAATATAAATTAAGTATAACTTTATAGTTTCAGTTTAGTTTAGACGACAGCATCACATCAAGCAATACACAGTGGCATCTTATTTAGTCATAAACGATACCATTTTGTAACAAATATGTATAGTGTACTTTGCTTTACTTACAAGAGTTACAAGAAAAACCGGTAGTTCCTTCAGAAGAGTCAGAAGAAGGCTTTATAGAACTGCGACTTTTATCGTGCAGTGTCGTGCTACTTTAATCGTTTCAATAGAGCTAAAAGGGGCAAACTAAAGAATCGCAATGTATAAACTTTAAATGTACTGGCAACTACAAATAAATCGTTTAAAAACCACGCTACCGAAAAAAAAACATAAAACAAGTGAAAGACGATACCGTCTAGCCTCCGTGAGTCACACGTTACATGTAAATGAAAACTAATGGGGTGTTAATAACTCGATAAGGCGGTTACACACCGCCAAGATTCCTCGCCGGACTGTGTACACAACGCTTTGTACATACGGTGTGAGGTTGACAGACTTGTGATTGTACGGTGATCGTGAGAAAGTGGATAGAATTTGGAGAATAAGTAGGTCCCTTTAAGTAGAAGTTTTCTCACAGTACTGCTGATAATTTGATAAACTCGCAATACATAAATAACTACATCAATACAAAATGAAATATGACAAAAACGGAGCCATACTACATGAAAGTAATTAATTACCATTCCAAATTACTTTTACATCACACATGTACTAGCATGGCGGACTTGTCACGCGCTCATTGCGATGTATGTTGTCACTGATGTGATGCGTACGCTCTGTATAATCGATCTACATAGTAGCAATCATGTAAGTAGTGAACGAGGGAGCCAGGGAGCGCCATTAAAAACCAGACCTTTGGGACGCAACGGGTGCACACACTTTTCGTCAGCAGCGAGCCTATAGGCATTCGAGAATCAGCAGCTGAAATTCGCAACCTTTTGGGGGAAACAAATGAAAACGATAGACGATCATTAAAACACTAAGCGTTTCGACGACTCTTTTATAATGAGAACAGCTAGAGAATGGAATTCGCTGCCTGCTGCTGTATTTCCTGAACACTATAATCCGGGCCTTTTCAAGGCGAGATTGAATAGGCACTTACAGGGCAGATATGTATCATCCTAGACTGCATCCCACTTAACACCAGGTGCGATTGCGGTCAAATACCTGCCTTGTCTTGCGTAAAAAAAGCCACATGGGATCTTTGCTGGTGACTGGTACATTTGGCCAGCAGGAACGCAGCGAATAGCTTCTTTCAAATGAAACAAGTTGCAGAAGAAGACCAAGAAAGAAGTAACGTTACGGATTATAAAACCACCTTTGCTCTGCAATTGGACACAGAAGGTGAAAAAAAACAGATGGTCCCAGTCCCAGTAATGCATGTATCAATATGTAAAGCAAAAGACATGATAGATAGGGAGGGAGAAGAACCAAAAAAGTTCATAAACAAAGTTAATTCAATCGATTACCTATCATCAAGTCTCGAACTATGTAATGCTTGTAGTCTTGTACAAATAAGCGAATCTTGTTGCTTGGTGAGTTAGTGACTAGATAGCATACAACCATGTTTGAATACATTTGAACGTCCATGACTGGGTATAATTATTATGCGTGATCTACTCACTTACATTTTCCCCATGCGGGGTTACAGTAATGGAATAAATGTGTTCGAATATAATCAGTAATAAGTTAATGAAAATGAACACGATATTTTAAATATTGGATGAAATGTGTGAAAGAAGAGAAAGGTTAAGTTATCGAGATCAAGAAAGGATGAAATGTGTCAAAGGAAGGGAAGGATCACGAAAGCTAAAGTTACTTCTTATTTCGTGGTCAA